CGATCTTGTGTGGTTTCAGTTCCCGGCGCCCCCGGGTCTCGTCTGCACCGGCCACGCAGGGTCCACCCGCGCAGCGCACTCAGCTCTGCCCCAGGCAATGACAGACGTCGTCCTCTTGTAATAAATAACCCGGTTTACACTGGAGAAAGGGTACCGCAGATGCCGGGTCGGGAGGAGGCGAATGCGCGGTCAGGTGTGGCTCTCCCCGCCCGGATGCCTCGCGACCCTGCGGCCACTCAGGTGCCCGGGTAGACTTCTGGCCCTACCGTTGATCAGCTGTCATCTTGGACAAGTGACTTAACCTCCCTGTTGCTTTCTTTTTCTGTAAAATAGAGATGGTGTCAGGCTCAACTCTTGACTTTTTTTTTTCTTTTTTTGGAGAGTGTTTTTTGTTTTTTGTTAATTTTTTTGTTTTGTTTTGTTTTTCTGTAGGGCACGTGCGCTCGCCAGTCAGACAGAGACAGAGAGATAGTAAGCGAGAAATCACCCCCTACGGGGAATGGCCACGCCGCAATCCCTTCTCCTCCATTCTCCTTTCTGGATCTTGGGCACGCACGCACACGCGCCCAGCATGAGTTTAAGCCACCGGGTCCGGGACTTGAATCAAGGTCGACTACGGGGGAGTCCAGCGACGTAGCCATTACGCTAACTGCTGGTCCCTCTTGAAGTTGTTTTTGAGGATCCAGTGAAATAGTGCAATGCAAAGCTGCGGGCAGGACCACCGCGTAGGACATGATCAATGTACAGGCGGGGTCGTGGAAAACGCCTATTATGAGAAGATCATGCTTAAAAAATTTTGGCAGTGCTATAAACTTATGCTGTCATTCTACTTTTCCACAGACTTTCTGAAGTATCCTGGTCAAGTTAGCTATTACTATTACCTGTTTTATTTTTATTGCCAGAGGGCATGTGCACTTGCCAGGGAGAGAGCACTTCCAGTGGGCGGTGGCCAAACCATAATCCTTTTCCCTCCATCCCTCCTCCCGGTCAGGTGTTGCTGCATATTCACCTCTCACCCTCACAGTGTTTTTCCAACTTCCTCGGGGTAGTTGGTCAGCCATGTGCAATCCGGCCCCTTTAACGAGTGTTTTTCCAACTTCCCCGGGGTAGCCATGGTCAGCCATGTGCAATCCGGCCCCTTTAACTACTGAGCTCCCCGCTGACCCTAGCTTTTGTCATTTTTCATAAAGGATTAGAGCAGTAAGGGGTTTAAATACTAACTTGGATTCAAAATTAAAACTGTGCCAGCCTTAGAATTTAAATGTTGCCTTAACTCTTGAAAATTTAAGTCTCGATATTATTATAGAGCTGATAAGCCAAGGTGAGCATTTGAAACAGGCTCATTTGCAGAAGTATGCTTCCGTGTTTCATCCCTTTAAATGGTGAGCGCCTGCCTGCAAAGGCCGGTCTCAGAATGAGAGCTACTGTCCCTGCGTTAGAAAAGCCAAGCTACCGTAAGGTCCCACACAGTAAAATTCTCCTGAGCTCCGTTTGGTATCTCCAGGCCCGACAAGGAACCACGGCTGAACTTCTCCACAACTGGGCTTGGTAAGAGCCCCCACTCCAGGTGCTGCTACAGCAAGGTCACACTGACCCAGGAAGGAGCAGGCAAAGACCCAAAGTGAGGCCTGGGAGGTCTGCCTCCCTAGAGGTGGGTCATAATGTGACCACTGTGCTAACTGCCCTGCATATCAGTGCACATGCAGTTCCCCAGAATAGCTCGGTTACGCTAAAAGGAGCCCCCTCCTTTCTGCTGGGTGGGCTGAGACACTTCTGGCTTCAGACCCTCCAGGCACTCTTTCTCTCAGTAAACTTCCCTTTTTTCTTTTTTTTTAAAGAATTATTTTATTAACATTATTTATAATTTTGACCAGAGAGGGACAGAGGAGAGAGAGAAAGTGAGGAAGCAAGAGGCCAGGTTTGGGACTTGAATCCTGTGGCCATGTGGGAGTCCAATGCCCTTAACCACGACGCCACCTGCTGGCCCCAAACTTCCATGTTTCTTGAGAGGATGTCTCCTGAGTCTTCCTCTGGACCTTGACAATGACCAGCTCAAGAATGGAAATCGAGAGTATACTGAGGTTTTTCGATTAGATAGGACATGTAACTTAATGTATAAGATTGTTTGGTATGGTGAGAAAGTCTATGGCAAGTTAAATCGAAGCTTTCACATGAACTAAGCTGCAGTGATGAGGTCATGGAAAGTTCCACAGCTTTGATAGGTGAGCTTCTCCAACAGGTGATTCTGACTTGCCCTACCCGAGCACAGTTTGCGGCAGTTATTTATTAGAAGGTAAATGCTTTATTATGTTCCATATTCAAGATGAAACTTGTTTCACTTTGGCATGTATTTGAGAATAACTGGAATCGGACTGGTCAAATTATGGTGCCGATAGATGGTCTCAAGAAGCGTTCTGACCTGTGAGATTTGCCCACCATGACGGCAGCCGCAGTCAGGACTGGTGATCACTTCAAAGACATGGTCATATGAAGCCTGTCTATAAAGATTAGTTTAAAATAAGGAAATAAATATGGAGGTGGGCATTACTTGCCACTTCGCCGTAAAACTGGCAGGAGTGAAATTTTCTATGGAACTCTTCAGTACTGATAACGTTAAGTGGTGCCTGTTCTCTGCCACGCGTTTGTGTAAGAGCTGGAGAATTTCCTGATACAAAACCAAGAAAGGGAGTAAAAGGCAGAATTTGTAAGAGCAAGTTCCGATGGTACTTAAGATGCTTTCCTGACATTCTTCCCAGCTGGAGATTGCAAAAGGGCACATGGTGGGCTTTCCTGCAGAAAATACAAGTGCCCTGTTAGCTTAGGGGAGAGCCAAGACCTTGATAACCGGGTGCCGTCTCCCCCCCTTGATTCCGCCCTATATCTGAGGGATGTTCAGTCGTACCTGTTCAGACACAGAGGACTTTAGATTGTAACCATTATTCCTTTTTGTAATCTTAATGAAAATAAATCCATGCAAGAATTAAGTGCTTGCTTAAATGATTCATTGGAGTAGAAAAACAACTTTGATGATTTTGTACTTTGCTCTTTACATTTCCTGTCTTCTGTTCTACCAACCTTAAAGAGACTATTAAGAGGAGTTCTGAATGTTCTGGGTTTTGTTATTGTTTATTTAATGTTTATTTAAAGTGTGGAATAAGTCAACTTTGAGAACAAAAACTGGTGTCCATCCATGTCTATAGTTCTAGAACCTAGTATATACTGATGCTTGGATAATATTTAATAGTAGACCTCTTTGAAAAATTGTTGTGTTTCTGGTAATGGAGTTTTATTGAATATTTGAAAGCTCAAGGGTGATTGGTGTAAATGAGCACACCTTCATTATCTTGAGGTCTCCCACAGTAAGAATAGAAGCCTATTGTCTATGTTTTTTCCTTTTTTCTTCACTGGGTTCCTACTCCATGTTAGACAGAGGAGTATAACATTGTACAAGTCACATGTCCTGCCCCAGAGGATTTTTATAGTGAAATGGGGAGAAATAACAATGAATCACTACATGACAGCATTACTCTGAGAAAACAGAGCGATGGAGAAGGAGCTGACCCAGCTTTTAGGGCAGTTCAGGAGAGAAGAGTAGGCAATAAAACTCATCCAGGTTGTACTGGGGACTTCAAAAATTTCATGGAAAAATGAACAAGATGAATTTTTTTTTTTTCTGGTGAAGAAAATGGAAATCCATTGCATAGTTTTTCCATTGCATTGTCCGTCAACTCTCTGTGGAGCCCACATAAAAAGGCCATATGAAGGAGCTTGAACTTTATAGTACTGATTATAGTATATCAGTACTTTTTTTCATTTTTTAAATTATTTATTTATGTTTGTATATACATTCAATCACATTGTTTAGCTTACAATGTGAGCATTTCAATATGTGAACATTTCTCCCCAGTCCCATTGGTCAAAATAAGTACTTCTTTTCATTTTTATCAGTACTTTAATACTGATACTATCATCGACATAGAAGCCAAGTTTGCAGTTTCAGATTCCTATCTTTCTAGGTAGCTTTTATTGCTTACTTTTTCCTGTGTTGGACTTGCACAAAATATTTGGCTATGTTAATAGCTCTCTGTTTCATCTTTGATTTCTCTCAAAGAGTTTTAAGCAAATACTCTTATCTGCCAACCACAGGAACCTGGCCAGTGACATCTGGGTTTAGAGAATATTACTTAATCATACTGATTCTAAATAATTGATAAAAATTTCTTCTATAAGCTCTTTCCACGAATTTGTGCTTGTTTATGGTATTCTTTTAGATGAGGTCATTGTATTGGCTACCAGGCAGCCTCTTTTCTTTTTTAAAGAGTTATTTTATTTATCCATTCATTTTATTTTAATTTGACCAGAGAGAGACACACTGAAAGAGAGAGAGAGAAAGCCACCAGGTCTGGGACTGGAACCCTGGTCAGCCATGTGGGAGTGTCCAGTGCCTTAACCACCACGCCACCTGCTGGTCCCCTAGGCAGCCTCTCCAGAGGAAATGGGATATATTCCTGACTGATAGACTTTTTGAGTGAGCTCATCTGCTTTCTATTTACAGATAGGATTTATACTTAACTGCACATTTTTCATCACTTACAAAGATCCTAAATTTATTTTCTTCTTTTAATTTGCCATAAGGTCTTGTGCTCGCCCAGAGAGACAGAGAGGAAGAGTGACAAAGCACCCCAGTAGGGAATGACCTTCTTTTGGGATTTAGGGCATGCATGCATACAGGTATGTTTTTTCAAGCCTCCGAGTCTTGCACTTGAACTGTGCAGTTGGCCCGGTGGGATCCAGGCAGATTCTAAATTTCTTTACTTATGATTTTTAAATGTATACTTTACCATACGGTTGCATAACTTTAGTATTTATCCATTTTAATGGTTTGTGGGTTTGACCAGAGAGAGACACACTGAAAGAGAGAGAGAGAAAGCCACCAGGTCTGGGACTGGAACCCTGGTCAGCCATGTGGGAGTGTCCAGTGCCTTAACCACCACGCCACCTGCTGGTCCCCTAGGCAGCCTCTCCAGAGGAAATGGGATATATTCCTGACTGATAGACTTTTTGAGTGAGCTCATCTGCTTTCTATTTACAGATAGGATTTATACTTAACTGCACATTTTTCATCACTTACAAAGATCCTAAATTTATTTTCTTCTTTTAATTTGCCATAAGGTCTTGTGCTCGCCCAGAGAGACAGAGAGGAAGAGTGACAAAGCACCCCAGTAGGGAATGACCTTCTTTTGGGATTTAGGGCATGCATGCATACAGGTATGTTTTTTCAAGCCTCCGAGTCTTGCACTTGAACTGTGCAGTTGGCCCGGTGGGATCCAGGCAGATTCTAAATTTCTTTACTTATGATTTTTAAATGTATACTTTACCATACGGTTGCATAACTTTAGTATTTATCCATTTTAATGGTTTGTGGGCTCTACTATGTGCCGTTTATAAGTGTGCTCACAGACACTGGAACGTGACCACACAGCCATCCCCTTCCCTCCATTCTCCATCCCATTAGGATCTGGAACATACATGAACACACACATGTGCCTGGCTTGCTTTTTTAATAAGTCCAGGCATGAAAACACCTGTGATCTTGGGGATCTGACTTCCTATGCACAGTTCTTGACCTCTGCGCTACCAGACTGACCCTACTTTGTGCTTTATAAATATTGGTGACAACTTTGATTTATTTCTGCCACCTTGAGCTTTTAGATCAACGACAACAGAATGATCATGGGGCTTTTCTTTTTTTCTTTAATTTAAAAGACTAAAATTTCTGAGATTACCCAAGAATATACTCACTGAATCAGACTATTGGGCAGTAGAACCAGCATCTAAAAATAGTAACAACTATTTTAAAATGTAAGAAAGGTGATTCTGATATATGCTTGTATAATTGCAGCCTTATTTCCATAGGCATTTGAGACTTGAAATATTATTGAAAATTTTTCTTGATAACCCTTTTAAGTAATTTGATGGATCTGTTCTGGGCAACTTTTCCCCAAAACATTTTCCTCCTTTAGCTTTTAACTGAAGACTAAAAGGAGTAGAAATAGAATCTGGAGAAGTAGGAACTATATTTTAAAAGTAGTGCCTTGACATCAAAAGAAAACAGAGTATGACTAAATAATTCTTTTTAAGCCAAAACATGTCAACAGCGTTATTGAAGTCCTAACGTGCCAGGTAGGAATATAGTGATGAATAAGACAGACAAGTGTCCTACTTTGTTGGTTCAGGAAGAGGTAGTCAAAGAGTAAACTAATATACAAGTAAATAAACCAGCTGTCTTCACATTAGAGAAGTACTGCGAAGAAAATAAAAGAAAGATATGCATGTAACTTGCAGAAGTCTGTATTAAGGGCAGGAAGCTTAAACTGAAATTGGCATGACAAATTGTCATTAGTCATGCTAAGATTTGGGACCTAGCAGTCCAAGCAGAGAGATAGCAAGTATAATGACCCCAAATCAGTGGTAAACTTGACCTGTTTGAAGGACAAAAAGAAAACTAACGGGACTAGAATACCATGGGCAACGGGGTAGTGCCGTGAATAGCAATCTTTCTCTATTAAGGGTGATTCCTAGGATTTGACTTGTGAATCTGGGCTCAATTACTGCTTTAGTAGTAAATTTTAAAATGAAGACTGGGTAAATTGGGGAAGTTAGAGAAGGTAAGAGATGTCTCTTAGGCTTGAAGCTCTAAGAAGGCTTCTGGATCCAGGACTTTGTAGCTCACAGGAAAGACGGGCATTGGAGGTAAATAGCTGAGAGTTCACACCATATAAATAATAACAGATATAACCCTCTCTTTCCTTTCACTTCTCCATTTATTTATGTATTTATTCATTTATTTTCATGAATGAGTTTTATAACTGTCAGATAGATGGGTGATTCTCATCCCTGACTATGGATGATTCGCCTTGGGAGCTCTTAGGATAAAAAAGAAGAATCTACGCCCAGGTCCTGCTGTCAGAGATTTCTGCTGGTTGATTTGTGTAGGGTCCAAGTATAGGTACCTTTTATAGCTTTCCTAGACGATTCTGTCCTGAGGCCATATCTGGGTCCCTCTGCCCTGCTGTATCAGGTCATAGTGCTCCTAATGCTGATCTTGGTCTCTATAACAGGAAGGAAAATGGAAGGCCTGCCTGATGTCGCTGCTTTTGCGACTAAACTTAAAAACACTCTCATCCAGTACCACAGCATTGAAGATGATAAGTGGCGAGTTGCTAAGAAAATGGTAAGTTCTTTCAGTCACTTATATCTGGCGCGTAGCTTTTGTCCACTTGGTGGCCTATCTTTTGAATTAGTTGGTGAGTTTCAAAATGATACTGAAGAGGGAACCAGCAGTTAGCGTAATGGCTATGTCGCTGGACTCCCACGTAGTCGACCGCGGTTCGTGTCCCGGACCCGGTGGCTTAAAACTCACGCCGGGCGCGTGTGCGTGCGTGCCCAAGATCCCGAGAGGAGAATGGAGGAGAAGGGATTGCGGCGTGACCATCCCCCCTGGGGGGTGATTTCTCGCTTTCTTTCTCTATGTCTCTCTCTGTCTGTCTGGCGAGCGCACGCGCCCTACAGTGAAAATCTCTCAAAAAAAAAAAAATGATACTGAAGAATGTGAACGAGCGACCATATTTTGGATGTGCAAGGTAGGTGTTTGTGCTGACAGAGTTGGTGGGAAGAGCACATGGAAAGAAGAGCGTGTCAGCAGCAGTCCTGCCCTGTTCCCAGCAGCTCTCGGGATGTTAGACATAGGAATGGGCTCATGGCAACGAGAGCCTAAAGGACAGCCTTTTAATTCAAATGACATTATCCATCTAAGGAAGCATAGTAATTGATAATTTGGAATCATTTTAGGTATATTATTAGATTGTCAGGATTTACCAATAACCCAGTAATGAGACGGTGAGAGTGAGCTAAATGTTCTACTTTACTAGCATGACTTGCCCAGACTGTTAGATAGGTGAGTGGCGAAAGAGCCAACCCTAAAACCCAAGACACTTTGAGTTAAATGTTCGAGCTATTCTGATAGGCAAAATTTTTTGGAAAGTTATTGTAAGAAATGTAGGAACTAATTCAAGATAGCATGGTCATAGTAAATGTGAGTTGTTTAATTTTAAAAAGGGATAAGCAATTTCAGAATGAAATATTTATCGTCTGTAATGTCACAGTGTGAGTGCATCAGTATGATAAATAGATAAAATTGGAGTAAGGCAAAAAATAATTACCTCTAAAGGTAGTGCCATCTCTGAGTCTTGATTGTTTTGGTCTCATTAAGCTACTGAAAATCTTTTCTGAAGGTCAGTAATGTAAGTACCATGTGAAAAACTAATATACAGAAGAAACTCAAACACAGATCAGTTCATGGCGTAAGTGACTTATATACTGCTGATAGAGACACATGTTCTGTCTAGATTTATAAAACTGTCCGCTTTGAACTCAAGATTCCATTGATGTAATTATCACAAAATGTTTTTATTTTTCTAGAAAGATGTAACAGTTTGGAGAAAACCTTCAGAAGAATTTAATGGGTATCTGTAAGTAAATTCTTACAGTTTTATGTAGCTCCTAAGGCATTGCTACACTTCATATACATATTGGCTCATTGGAAAAGTCATGTTTGCATAGAAAAATATGTCATGACTTTTCCAATGACCCAATACATTGTCACTAAATCATAAAATTTGGCTCTTGCTTTTAAACTTTTAAACTTTCTGAGAAGCAAATTGACTTTACGAATTCAGAGCCTTAAAAATTTTCATATTCTGGGAGTGGCAGATGGCGAAATGGTTACATTGCTAAACTCCCACTGTGGTTTCAGTCCCTGACTCGGTAGCTTAAAGCTCACACCAGGCACGTGAGCCCAAAATCCCTAGAAGAGAATGGAGGAGAACGGATTGTGGCATGGCCGTCCTTTCTGCAGGGGGGTGGGGTGGGGGCTGGGGGGTGATTTCTTACTTTCTGTCTGTCTGTCTGTCTGGTGAGTGCACGTGCCCTACAACAACAACAACAACAAAAACCTCTCTAAAAAAAGTTCCTGTCTTTTGTGGACTGATTTGATTGGTGGTAAATCAAATAGTATCAAATGGCTGATGGTATCTGCATTTGTTAAGTGGTGCGTATTACCTAAACTTTGACATTTCCTCAGTGCTATATGTAGCACACTATTCTGAGAATTGTCTTGAAGAAATCATCAGAAAAATAATAGCGATTTAAGTTTTTTTTCTCCCATCACAGCATTATTTACAGTATTAAAAATCATAGAATAATCAGTGGTAGGAGAATGATTAAAGTACAAAACATCTTTGTGTGGTAAGATATTATAGACTTAAAAATACATTTTCAAAGATTATTTGAATGGTAGTATAAATTTTTATTTCTCTTTTTTTTGATATTTGCTTATCATTTAATGTGAATTAGGCCTCTAACCAGGAAAACAAACAAACAAAAAGTTGTAATTTAAAGCCAGGAAAGAGTTAACTTATGTAATCAGAGTAGGATATTCACATACTTAGGATTCAGCCATTTTTAAAAATGAAATCGCTAGTCCCACTTTATATACACAGAAAGTGATGAAGTGTAACTTTTCCAGAAAGATGAGCTGTACATTATTTATGAAAAAGTCAAGGGAACTGGAGATGATTAAGTATTGTAAACAAATGTGGAAATTAATCCTTTAGATCAGTAATTCCCAAGGGAGATTAAAAATGTGTCAGAAGTGCCAAGGAAGCACTGTGCTTGGAGATTGGAAAATACTTCATAGAGGAGATATTTGAGTTGCGACTGAAAGGAAGAGTAGGTGTTTCTTTTTTTCTTTTTTTTAAGGTTTTTGCCATAGGACATGTCACTTGCTGGAAAGACAGACAGTAAGGGAGAGAGGAAGTATGAAATCACCCCCCAGTGGAGATGGCCACGCCACAGTCCATTCTCCTCCAGTCTCCTGGGGTTTGGGGCATGTACCCACATGCACCTGGTAAGAGTTTCAAGCTGCTGGGTCTGGGGCTTGAACTGTGGCCAGCCATGTGGGAGTCCAGCACCTTAACCACCACACCACCTGCTGGCCCTAGAATGGATGTTTCTTAAGGAGTAAGTACCTTCTGCCTGATTCATATTCAGGCAGAGGGAACTGCATCTTCTTTGTAAACACAGAAATGTTTTAAGGAGTTGGTTTAGGGGAGTGGAAGTTTTGTCTGTTTACCTGGAGTATAAAGCATGGGGATGATAACACGTGTCCGAAGGGTGTTTGAATTCTAAACTGGGAATTCTCAGTTTAGTAGATCTGTTCTTTTACTTTTATATGAATAGACTATGATGTGTTTATCTATGTTTGCATATATACCTGCTTATAGATTTTTAGGTTGTTGTCTGTTCTCTATAAGGTACAAAGTTGTAATAAACCTCTTAGTTCATATCTTATGGACACATGTATGATTTTCTTTCTTTTGCTTTTATTTTGAGAGATATATTTGCTATAGGGCTCATGTGCTTGCTGGGGAGACAGAGTCAGAAAGAGAGAAATCACCCCACGGGGAATGGCCACACCACAATCCCTTCTCCTTCATTCTTCTCTTGGAATTTCAGGCACACACATAGAGATGCACCTGGCGAGAGTTTTAAGCAGCTGGGTCTGGACTCGAACTCTGTGGTAGGCTTCTTGGGAGTCCAACAACATAACCACTACGCCTTCTGTTAGTCCCAGAAGGGATTTTCTTGGGTCTTAGGATCTACATCATCTAGCTTTACCAGACACTGCCAGGTTGCCCACTAACGTAGCAGTTCATTGTTCTCACTCCCTCTATTCAAGACTTAGTAAATACGTTTTCATTGCCAAGTGAGTGTGAGTAAGACGGTATGTTGTTAACTTGAGTACTGGTGAAATTGAGCATCCTTTTTATATGTATTGACATTTTGGGTCTATTGATTTGTTTGTTTGTTTGTTTTTGTGATAGGTTGAGTGCACCACATCTCCATTCTCCTCTCAGGATTTTGGTCATGCATGCAAACGCACCCACTGTATTTTTCAAGCCACAGGGTCTAGTACTCAAAATCTTTTCTTTGGCTAGTCTTTTCATTGGTTTGTAGGATTTATTGACATATTCTCTGCAATAATTCTTTGTCTTTTATATATAGTGCACATATGTTCACTTAGTTTGTGTCTAGTTTTAAAAAAATTATTTTTTCATATGTGCCATGCACATTATTAACCCATTTGTATGTATTGTTTGTGATTCTGTATGTTTTATGTATTCAGGAAATCCTTCCTAAATCCTGAAGTCACAAAGAGGATCCCTTGTATATTTTCCCAAAGTTTTTGTTTGTTTTAGAATTATTTTATTCATCATTATTATTTTTTAATTTGACCAGAGAAAAACAGAGAGAGAGAGAGAGAGAAAGTGAAAAAACAAGCCACCATGTTCAGAACTTGAACCATGGTCAGCCATGTAGGAGTCCAGCACCTTAACCACTACACCACCTGCCAGCCCCATTTTTCTCAAAGTTTTAAAGCTTTACGTTTTACTGAGAGGTGTCTAATCCATCTGGCATTGTGTTTAATAGTATAAAGTAGAGCTCCTTAAATAAGGATAACCACTGAGTCCAAGCACCATTCATGGCACAGTCCTTTCCCTGCCAATATTATTAGAATGCCACCTTTGAAATGTTTCAGTTTCAAGACACTCAGTAATTGGGTCTTTATTTTGTTCCATTGACCTATTTTTCTGTTCCTAAATGAAGTTTTTTAAAGTCATGGTAAAAATATGCATATATTGGAGAATTACTGAGGAAAGAATAATATACAAAATAAATAAAAGCATTACACTGTTCTGTAGACTGTTTTTGGCAACCCTATACATGAAGGATCTTTCTGTGTTCATCATGACAAATAATATAGTCTTCAATTCTAATATTAAATTTGAGACAGATACTGATGAAATAATCAGTAGAACTTTAATTTATTAGAAAAGTTGCTGGGATTTATACCCTTAAAAATATAAATAAATAAAAACTTTCTTAGTTTTTATTCTTTTTTTTTTTCTTTTTTTTGGAGAGGTTTTTGCTAAAGGGTGCATGCGCTCACCAGAAAGACAGAGACAGACAGAGAAATAGCGAGAAATCACCACCCCAGGGTGGATGGCCACGCCGCAATCCCTTCTCCTCCATTATCCTCTCAGGATCTTGGGCACGCACACGCGCCTGGCGTGAGTTTAAGCCACCAGGTCTGTGACTTGAACCGTGGTCGACTACGTGGGAGTCCAGGGTCATAGCCATTACGCTAACAGCTGATCCCTTATTCCTACTTTCAAAGTTAGCTCTTTGTCTGTGGGGGCATGCTGGATTTTTCATTCTAATAGCATTTGACTTCAGTTTTTTTTTTCTCCAGCTATAAAGCTCAAGGTGTTATAGATGACATTGTCTTTAGTATAATAGACCATATACGCCCAGGACCCTGTCGCTTGTATTGGGACAGCTTAATGACTTCACTGGATGTTTTGGAGCACTTCGAAGAGGTATCTGTTTAGAAACATTATTTTAAACTCTTTTTGTTGGGGGGTGGGGGGGCAGGCAGAGAGATGAGCAAGCAGGAGCATGTGAGAACGAGTGTCTACACCACTTACGTCCGGTGTGCTCATCGAGTCAACAATAGCAGTCTTGTCAGAGACCATAGGGAGTTCTGTACTGCCCCCTAAACATTTCCGTTTCCTAAATAAGTAATGAGTGTTAGAACTGAGTGTTGTCTACAGAAGCTACCTCTTAAGTAGGTCTTCATCATGTTTTTTGTTTTTGTTTTTAATTTGCAAGAGGGCACATGTACATTGTAGGGAAGAGAGAGGGGAAACGTGGATAGGCTCCCCCATATGGAATAGTTCCATCTCAGTCCCTCTGGGATGTTGGGTATACGTGGACACATCCTCAGCATGTGTTTCAGGCCTTCAGATCTGGCATTCAAACTGCAGTCAGCCCTGTGGGATCCAGCTTCTTTCTTTATTTTTTAAATTTTTTTATTATTATTATTTTTTGGAGAGGTTTTTGCTATAGGGCGTGTGTGCTCGCCAGACAGACAGAGAGACAGAAAGCAAGAAATCACCCCCCAGGGGGATGGCCATGCCACAATCCCTTCTCCTCCATTCTCCTCTTGGGATCTTGGGCACGCATGCACATGCGCCCAGCGTGAGTTTTAAGCCACTGGGTCTGGGATGCAAACCGCGGTCGACCACATGGGAGTCCAGCGAAATAGCCATTATGCTAACTGGGGATCCAGCTTCTTTAATCACCATGCCACAGGCTGGCCTGAGTCAGTGTCTTTAATTGTAAAACTTCAGTTGAGATTCTAAAATCTAAAATTCCGATCGTTCCACTATCAGGTATTTTTAGATTTCTGGGTAAATGTGTGTAGATTTTTCCATTAATACTAAGCCCAAATCAAAGATTAAAATGCCACCTTAGCGTTAGAGAATTGTGCGCCCCAAATAGCTTACTCCTTATAAATTTATTTTTGGGGGGACCAGCAGTTAGCGTAATGGCTGTGTCGCTGGATTCCCATGTAGTCGACTGCAGTTCAAGTCCTGGACCCGGTGGCTTAAAACTCATGCCGGGCGCGCGTGTGTGCGTGCCCAAGATCCAGAGAGGAGAATGGAGGAGAAGGGATTGCGGCGTGGCTATCCCCCATGGGGGGTGACTTCTCACTTTCTATTTCTCTGTCTGTCTCTGTCTTTCTGGCGACTGCATGCGCCCTATAGCGAAAACCTCTCTAAAAAAAGAAAAAAATACATATTTTTTGGTTTTTATTTATTTATTTTTAATGCCAGATGGTGAAGTGAGAGAGAAAAAAAATCTCTTCCCCCTAGCGGGGCCTGGTCATGCTGCAGTCCCCTTTCCTCCATGCCTCTTTCTCCAGGATCCTGGGTACATGGGCACACCCTCCCAGCATGTTTTTAACCTGGCAGGGGCAGGATATGAACTGCGGCCAGCCATGTGGGATCCTGCTCACTACACAGCGTTTAAGCACTGCAGTACAGGATCAGCCTGTTGTGGAACATTTTATATTGTTTTCAAAGTATTTATGGATTTTGTTTTTTCTAAAACAGTCTATACCTCCTAATTCCAGGTGGAATATTACATAGATTAAAAACGGACTTAATTTAATTTGAGATTTGGATACTGAGTAATCGATATCACTGTATTTCTTAATTGTACATTTTCCTTATGTCTATACAGAAGCAGTGAAATTTAGAATAGATATTTAGAACTGCCTGAATCACTGTAAGAATTATTATAACAGTTATTAAGCATTTTAAAAGCTTTTTCACTAGAGATGAGTTTTTGCTTTGTGAATCTGTGTGTGTAATTCCTGTAGTAGTAACCCCCGTCTCACCGC